GTCTGGACCAATCCAGTGTTTGACAACATGAGCATAGATCCACGCAATCGGGATTGATGACATGCTTCAAGCAAGTCAGTGAGCCTGACAACCCGATCCCGTTAGTCGCCTTTTACGGCAAGCATGGGTTGCTGAAAACCTATTCTACCCCGGATCTTCAATGGCCTCATTACTTTGGAGAAGAGGTATTCTACTGTACAAGAACGGTCTTTTCTTTACCAGGTATATAATCAGTACATTCTCCTTCTTTTATTTGTCATGGCGTCAAATCACAACAGTTAGATTACAGCAATCGATACAGAATCACTTTTCAGTTAAGCTTTCTTCCTTCTTTTACAAACCTCCCTTCCTAATCAATACATGTGCTTGTTGGGTTGGTGAAAAAAGAGGACTTGAAAGGATGCGGATCAGGGGTGGTTTTTTTGCTAATTCGATCAGTGACAGGCTATGGCTGGTTGCGGTGCCACGTCAGCTCAAACATTTCACAGCAAACGTTAACTTGAATGTAGCTGCCTCCCGACTTTAAATCAATATTTTTAATTTCAATGTCGCCTTGTAAACAGAAGCTTCAGAGCAGGCTTTTGTTTCCTAATCTAATGAAACCCCAGAAACAGACTTTGCAAGCAAGGAATAGCATCAAACGATAATTACAGTTTGTCTCTTACTAGAAGCAGAGTTGCTGATCAGATTTCATCTCCATCTTTGTGATGAGGAGGCGAGAGGCCGTTGTTGTTAGGGTTGGGATGAGTCCAAATTTACTACCCGGGTACCCACCACGCTATTACCCGGCCCTACCCGGATACCCGCTATATGTCTCAAGAGTTGGGTGTAAAATGTCTGATTGGGAATAGTTTGACCGTAGCCCTGGTAAAATGTGGTCTGGTCATGCATACACTGAAGTTGACTGAAGTTTTATCTTTATTCAAACCTATAAAGGTCAGAAGGAATGGGTGCATCAGTGACTTGTAGTGTAACCATAGAGTTTTAGATATTTTTTGTCATTAAACAATATATCATGTGACTAACCATGGGTCCGGGTAGTCCTGTGGGTACCCGGGTCCTACTCAGTCCCGCCCGACCCGAGTACCTGAGTTACCCGTCCCAGCCCTTGTTGTTATGTGTTTGACAGGCTTTCCAGAGATTATATTTTACTGGAATGAACATTATAAGAGAAATATGCGGTTAGACATACTTATTAGTGGTGGGAAGATACATCGATGCATTGGTAGATCGCAATTTTTCACTTCTCGATGCAAGTATCGATCACAGTCGCACATTAAGTGAAAGTATCGATTCTTACCTTAAATATTTTCTTGAATAACTACTAGTGAAAATGAGAAGTGAAAATGTAAACATGTTCATCCATTGCGCCATACCTGACACTGCCAACTGTTAATTAATAGTGTGCCAGGTATTTGGCAATCATGTCTATCAAAATGATGGCTCACACACCACAGATCAGTGCACAAGGAGTATTATGGAATTATTATGGTCCTGTTCGGATGAACAAAACCTTCCAAATGGATTGCTGGTTTTCTTGGGGGAATTAGTCAGCAAAGAGCCGGAGTCGGAGGAGACTAATCACAATTTTATTTACAAGAACAATTAACAATGAACAGTTTACAATATCTTAGAATATAGCTGGGGGTGCCACAGAGAGTCGGTACAACCCTCTGGGCTGTGGGAGAGCGATCTGCTTGGTTAGAGCGACAAACCCCTTCTCTCTGGACCTGACATTTAGTAAGTAATAAATATAAACGTAAACAGTAAATCATCAGTGACGTACTTGCACATCTCGTTCAGGATGGCAGAAGGTCGATGTACACAAACATGGGGATTAACAAATAGGATTAGCATCTTATAAATAACAGCAATTAAGTGTTTCAAAGCATATAGATGGCATGGCTCCAGGGTAATGAGCCTTTGCAATTAAATGTTTTTCAGACAATGGGTGTCGTAAATCAGTCGCTATGACATATACAGGATTCGTATCGGATCGTGAGCAAGGAATCGTGATGTGTATCAGATCGTACACTTGGTATATCGTCCCAGCCCTAATATTTATCATCCAAAACTGGCCTTGGTGAGAAAAGCAAGTCTAGCCAGCTCAAGCTACCATGACTGTGGAATATATATATTTTATGAAAAAATAAATAAATCTAGAAATGCATACAAAAGCAAGTCTAGCCAGCTCAAGCTAGCTCTATTCAACAGCATAGGGATTTTAAAAAAAAAAATTCGAGTCAAGAAGGATATTGTGTAATATAAGATTTCAGAGAGTGTCAAGCACACACAAGTATTGTGATCTCTCACAAACATTGCCTGTGTTCCTGGAATGTGCACAGTAATATACCCAGAACTGTGTCTCAAGGGCAGCGGTTTAAGTCAGCCAGACCGTGACAACATGCACAAGAGCTCCACAACAAAACAAACACCACATATTACGTAACAATGGGCTCCAGTGAGCAGATATTTTCCTAAGGTCAATTTTAATTTGATGGCTGTGTGTTTGTAAATACTTATAGTAGAATGGAGCTGACCTATTTCTTCGCATATTTCTCTGTAAGTGACCGCAAAGGAATGTGTTTTTATCTGTTTACTTTATCATGCCGAGAAAGTTACCCTTGCTACCCCTTACTGATAAAGAAGTTATTTGAAGTAGCTTGAACTAAGCAGTGTTGTTGTCAGTCTTGAAGCCGACCAGAAAATAGATGATGATGATGATGATGAAGATGATGATGATGATGAAGATCCATTCTACCTCCATCTTTTCCCCCTCCCTCCGTCCTTCCCCCCTCCCTCCGTCCATCCCTCCGTCCATCCCCCTACCTCAATCCTTCCCCCTCCCTCCGTCCATCTCTCCTCCATCCGTCCTTCCCCCCTCCCTCCGTCCCTGCCACCTTCCTCCGTCTGAGGGGGATTCTGACATCTGTATGTTTCACAACAACTTTCCAAAACTTGTGTAAAATTTCCCGACTTTCTGGAGAGACATTCCCAACCAATCTGATGGCATGCAGCTATCTCAGACAGAACTCACCATAGTGAAGTCACAGTCCACCTCCTCCTCCTGACAATGGGTGGTCAGCCCAATGGATGGCCCAACACTGTCCCTCACTGTCCCACAGTGGAAGAGGTCAGCTAGCACAGATCTAGCATCTCTCAGGTCACGGTGACCTCACAGATGCTGGTCCACTCCAACAGGGCTGCAGCTCTTACTTCAAGCCCCCTTGCTAATTATAGAAGGGAATCCCAGCCACACAAACAGGGTTTCAGCTCTTACTTCCAGCCCCTTTACTAATTATAGAAGGGAATCCCACTCTGGTCAGATTGGCTCAGTGACATCTGAGACCTAACATCACTACCTAACCACCCGTGAAGATCCCATGTAGAATAGGTCTTCAGCAACTCATGCTTGCCATAATAGGCAACTAAGCTTGTTGTAAGTGGCGACTAACGGGATCGGGTGGTCAGGCTTGCTGACTTGGTTGATGCATGTCATCATATCCCAATTGTGTGGATCGATGCTTAGATGTCAATCACTGGATTGTCTGGTTGATTATTTACAGACCACCGTCATATAGCTGGAATATTGCTGAGTGCAGCGTTAAACAACAAACAAACAAACAAACAAACAAATAACTTAAGCATGTGCAATGATGTGACATCGGGATTCTTAGTGCCCCAGGGGGCTGTCGGGTAGCCTAGTAGTTAAAGCGTTCACTCGTCACGCCGAAGACCCGGGTTCGATTCCCGACATGGGTACAATGTGTGAAGCCCATTTCTGGTGTCCCCTGCAGTGATATTGCTGGAATATTGCTAAAAGCGGCGTAAAACCAAACTCACCCACTCACTCACTCACTCACTCACTCACTCACTCACTCACTCACTCACTCTATCCTGTTTATCTCTTTGGCGTATCATCATATTGTGTTCTTTGAACATCAATCTTCTCTTGTCTAGACAAAAAAAGGTTTATATATACTGAACCTCAAAAGAAACGTCACCATGGATAGATATATGAGAAACCTTATTTGTCCAAACACTGTAAACATACTTTGAGACATATTAAATAGATGAAACTTGGAAAAACTGATCATCAAGGTTGAAATTAAAGTGTCAAATGTTCTTAAAGAGAAAATAATTAAATTTTCCTTGTGTTCATTGAAATTCCTGCATTCTGATTAGCTGAATTGGTCACGTGTTATTGCATTCATTTCCCAATGAATGTAAAAAATTAAGCCACGCCCACCGAAGCGGACTCCTTTTTTCGCTACTGAATGTCGGGGAATCCCAATACTTCAGTGGAGGGAATTCCCTTTCTGCTCGCGTGTATCGTCATGCACAGGACATTTAGCGACATTCATGCATATTCATTGTCATACAACCCCTTGGGGCCGAAAGCCGAGAAGGAATGAAACAGCAAACGTGCAGGCTCGCTCTCCTGTTTTTTCCCACTCGCCTCGGTTCCACAACTTTCATGTCTTCGGGTTTCATTTCTAACTAGTATTTTTCTGACTGTGTCTTCACGTTCTCAGGGAATAAATGTTCGAATCTGGGGACAACTGACCATGTCATTTGAAACAGCCGCCTTCTCCCGGACATATTTTTCCGGTTCGTTACAGTCTGAGTGTCACCTCTTGCCTTTATTAACAGGTCCAATGAAATTTGTTTTGATTCTACACTCCGTTGATTGGCTCCTGACTTTGAGGGCGTGTCAAGTTATGTGCATAAATTAAACGATCACCTGATTCATGTAACACCACAGTACATATTCCTACACCTGGAATGTTTATCAACCTCGTCATTTTTGACTGCTTTGATATTAACAACAGTTTTTGGTTAAACTATTGTCTGTTTTCATTGTCGAATTTAATTATTAGCATTGACTGTGTATTTTTTTTCAGTTCATTGAGGCATGAATTGAAAAACTGATGTGCTATCTTTTGTAAGAATCCGCTACGCGGATTCATACAGTTTTGTACATGCGTTTGTGTACCTACCCTTGTTTTTGTGTGGTGCACCGTGCGACGACATTCACTGCCCTATATCACTGTCCCTTGTCACGTACATCTGGAATAAGAATAAGAATGATGATGATGATGATGATGAAGATGATGATAAATGACGGCTGTCGGCACATTGTCAGTGGATGCCCAGCTTTGGCACAAACACAGCATCTTAAGTGACATGATGGAGTGGCTCGACCCTTTGTGGTTCACTTCCTTGGTGTACAAAACAACATTAGCCTTACAAGTCTATGTTAAGGTTGGGGGGCGGTCGGGTAGCCTAGTGGTTAAAGCGTTCACTCGTCACGCCGAAGACCCAGGTTCGATTCCTGACATGGGTACAATGTGTGAAGCCCATTTCTGGTGTCCCTCGCCGTGATATTGCTGGAATATTGCTAAAAGCGGCGTAAAACCAAACTCACTCACTCACTCACTATGTTAAGGTTGTGGACTTACACCTTAGCGCTAAGATCGCGTTGTACACCCTGCACTGTTGGCTGATGACATGTGCAATGACGAATCAAGATTCTTAGTGACCAAGTGAAGTGGCCTTGAACCCCTTGAATTTGTTAAGTGTCTGCCCCTGTCAATCCCTGAATTCAATCAACCACTCGTGTTCCCAAAATCTCACAATACATCATCTTCCCGAGGCAAGAGAGTTAACTGACTTTAAAAGTCCAGTTTCCACCCTTGCCGAACTTGGCTGGAATTCCTGGGCTCGATCGTAGCGCCACCAGTGGCTATTACGAGTTATGTCCTTTCTATGCCTTTCCTATTGACCAATCAGATTCAACCTCTTGTATCAGTTGCATTTGCTTCAAACAAAATGGTGGCGCCCAGTCAAGACGATCTGATCGATAATCAAGATCTATATTGTGATAAATCGAGTCTTACATCGTGAAGTGCATCAAATCACGTGAGCACCTTGATTAAAGATTTAGAAAATATCTGTTGACAGCGAGTTAGCGGTGCACATGCTTTGCAAATCCTGCAGTCGACCAAAATCTGCATGACACTTAACGAACTGGATTTCGATTTCGGTGCACGATTTTAATTGGACTATGCAGAGATTTGTTAGTCCCACGCAAAATGTAACTCCATAATACCAGCCTAGTTCGGCAAGGGTGGAAACTGGAATTTTATAGTCAGTTAACTCTCTTGCCTCGGGAAGATCCCAATACATATGGAGAATCTCACCCGAGTGTCTTTTGATATGAAATATATCAACACTCTTTGATAAAAGTGGAAAAAATCCTCGGCAAGCCTCAAAGTTTTCCCACTTTTATCAACGAGTGTTGATATATATTTGACATCAAAAGACACTTTGGTGAGATTTTATTTATCATCCAACATCCTTCTTCCAACTTTTTCAGTTTGTAGACAGTAATAAGCAGTGTCTTAAGTGTAAGAAGTACTGCTAACAGCTTCAGTAGCAGAGGCATTAGTGATGTCATTTGATTGTGACGTCATGGTAACTTATGAGGTCACAATGGTCTGCAACTCAATGTGATGCAATTTCATTTCAGCGATATGTACAATGTAGATATCGCTTGATCTCACCCAAGCCATATCTCCTGTGGGGGCCAGTTTTGGATGATAAATAGAGAATCTCACCCGAGTGTCTTTTGATATCAAATATATCAACACAAGTTGATAAAAGTGGAAAAATTCCGAGGCTTGCCGAGGACTTTTGCCACTTATATCAATGAGTGTTGATATATTTGATATCAAAAGACACAAGGGTGAGATTTTATTTTTCATCCAACATCATTTTTCCAACTTTTTCAGTTTGTAGACAGTACTTAGCAGCAAATAGAACTTTTTCAGTTTGTAGACAGTAATTAGCAGCGTCTTCAGTGTAAAAAGTACTGCTAACAGCTTCAGTAGCAGAGCCATTAGTGATGTCATTTGATTGTGACGTCATGGTAACCAGTGAAGTCACAATGGTCTGCAAAGCATTGTGATGCAATTTCATTGCAGCGATATCTACAGTGTAGATATGGCTTGATCTCATCCATGCCATATCTCCTGTGGGGGCCAGTTTTGGATGATAAATCGCAGTTCACATACCTGTCTCAATATATTTGTAGTTCAATTTCTTTGCCAATACACAGCCTGAATGAATAGATATGAATTGCATTGTAAATACGTCCATCTCTACTACAAGAAAGTAACGTGAGAAGAACAGATCAGAAGTAATGTCAGCAATACCTTGAAATGGGGTGGAAGTTTTGGTTTTGGTTTGGTTTGTTGTTTAGCGCCGCACTCAGCAATATTCCAGCTATATGATGGCGGTCTGTAAATAATCGAGTCTGAACCAGACAATCCAGTGATTAATATCATGAGCATCGATCCACGCAATTGGGATCGATGACATGCATCAACCAAGTCAGCAAGCCTGACCACCCGATCCCGTTAGTCGCCTTTTACGACAAGCATAGTCACCTTTTACGGCAAGTGTGGGTTGCTGAAGACCTATTCTAGTAGATGTACGGTGATCACGGTCAGTTGCCATTGGCTTCTGATTCAACTTAGTAATTCTCAACAACATACTTGACCAGCTTCCTGACAGGATTGCCCTGTAAGAATATACTGACTCAGGACGGGCTCCTCACTGCACCATTGTAGACAGTAGGGCTGAGACGAGTCCAAATTTACTACCCGGGTACCCACCCTCCTATTACCCGACCCTACTCAGGTACCCACCCCCCTATTACCCGACCCTACTCGGGTACCCACCCCCCTATTACCCGACCCTACCCGGGTACCCACCCCCCTATTACCCGACCCTACTCGGGTACCCACCCCCCTATTACCCGACCCTACCCGGGTACCCACCCCCCTATTACCCGACCCTACCCGGGTACCCACCCCCCTATTACCCGACCCTACCCGGGTACCCACCCCCCTATTACCCAACCTTACACGGATACCCACCCCCCTATTACCCGACCCTACCCGGGTACCCACCCCCCTATTACCCAACCCTACACGGATACCCACCCCCCTATTACCCAACCCTACACGGATACCCACCCCCCTATTACCCGCCCTACCCGGGTACCCACCCCCCTATTACCCGACCCTACTCGGGTACCCACTGTAGGTCTCAGGAGATGTCTCATAACGTCCGATTGGGAACATTTTTAGCATAGCCCTGGCTACGTATTTAGATGCATGTATTAAACAATCAGGTCATTCATGCACTGAATTCGAATTAAGTTATATCTTTATTCAACCGTATGAAAAATCAGAAGGAATGTGTGCATTGTCAGAAAGAAATGCAAACATTAGTGACTTGTAGTTTAACCATAGAGTTCTAGATAATTTTTGTCATTAAACAATATATCACATGACTGACCATTGGTCCGGGTAGTCCTGTGTGTGTCCTGTGAGTATCCTACTCAGTACCCACCCGACCCGAGTACCCGAGTTACCCGTCCCAGCCCTAGTATCAAGCCTGACCCAGCCCTAGTAGACAGGGTTGTGAATGTACTGACTCAGGACAGACTCCTCACTGCAGCCGTTGGGTTGTGAATATGTAAAGAGCACTGATCCGCTAGGTTTAAAATGACCTGCACAACGATGAGAAACATTTCCTTGTCTGTTTTTAGCCTCACATTAATATTTGTAACACACCCTGTGGAGAATTCATCTGCAGGTCAAACATATCCGAGGCATTTCATGAGATTTAAAACCCTCTTCCTCAGGATAAAACTGAGGGGATTTAAATCTCGAAAAAAAACAGGGTAAGTGTTTTATCTAACATATAAACTGAAAAAAGAAATTTAGAACATTTATCAGCATTTGTCTGTTCCATGAAACTTAGGAGAGCGAACTGTCACTGTGTGTGCAATAATCTTGAATAATCTTCCACATTTCACCTCACCTCAGAGTTTGATACCAATAACATTATACGGCTATGAAAACGACCCCTTGAGTTTCACACTTAATGTCGAAGAACCCAATTTCAGTAAATGCAGATCTTTCACTCTGACGAATACCCCGTTGCATGAATAGCAGAGTGAAAGATCGGATTTTAATGAGATGGAGTTCCTGTTATTCTGTTCATGTGACAAAAACCACAAGCAAATATCAGTTTGGCCTACCTTTGAGTGATATTGTAGAAATAATGTCGTGTTGAAAGATGTAACTGCTTGTCCGACATGCAGGCAAACACTTCAAGCCTTGCTGGTAGTCCTTTGACAGGATTAACCCTATTTGTGTTAAGTATCATATTTCATGCTTGGGTTAAGGTTCATATTTATTGCAGGGGTTGTGCTCCGTAAGATTTGTTGGTTTGTTGTTTAACGCCGCACTCAGCAATATTCTAGCTATATGACGGCGGTCTGTAAATAATCGAGTTTGGACCAGACAATCCAGTGATTGACATCATGAACATTGATCCACGCAATTGGGATGCTGTGTAAGAAGTTATATTATGAGGACTATAGACTTTGATTTAATGGTTTGCAGATAGTTTTGCTAACCAATAAGGTCGGTAGGTCAATTGAAATGATAACAGCATCATTTGCTTAATTTATTATTTGTTTTTTATTTGGCCTGCAGTTGTTTGAGGCATGTGGGAAATATTATGTGTGGGAAATATTACAAGGTGGAAAATATCACATGGTTGAAATGTAACATGGAAATATTACATGTGGGAAATATTACATGGTGGGAAATATTACATGGTGGGAAATATCACATGGTGGAAATGTTACACAGAAGTATTAAGTGGTGGGAAATATTGAAATGATAACAGCATCATTTGCTTAATTTATTATTTGTTTTTTATTTGGCCTGCAGTTGTTTGAGGCATGTGGGAAATATTATGTGTGGGAAATATTACAAGGTGGAAAATATCACATGGTTGAAATGTAACATGGAAATATTACATGTGGGAAATATTACATGGTGGGTTATATTGCATGTGGGAAATATTACTTGGTGGAAATGTTACATGGATAATCATATATAACATGTGGGGAAATATTATATGTGGGGAAATATTATATGTGGGGAAATATTACATGTGGGGAAATATTATATGTGTGGGAAATA